CCCCCTCCTACGCTACTCGAAAGAAATATCTATTAATTTATGATTCATCATAAAGAAGAAACTAAATTTGTGTTTCCTTCAACTCTCGTCTTGCTTTTGATTTCGTTTTCATCAGGATTTCATCGAACAGTCATCCGTTACGTATCCTTTCAATTATTTATATTTTATGTTTACAACATTTAATTGAATTTAAAATTTTTGTATGACAAATTGATAGAGCATTTGACTTAAAATTTTTTTTAGAAGTTAAAAATATAATAGAAATTTTTTAATTTTATTTAATTACAACCTGAAATTTTGTAATTTATCCAGTTAAGCGGCATATTTGATTTTATTATTAGCCTTTTGGTGATGTTTATACAGTTGAAGAATTTATTGAAAATTGAATTGTTGTTGGAATTAACTTCAATTCTGAAACGAATATATTTTTACAGGATTTTAATAATTTAGTTTATATTTTTATATCAGTGATAGGGATTTGCAAATAATATACAAAAGAAGTGATGTGTAAAATCAAATTTTTCCATATTTTATTTTCTATATAATAAAAAAAAATCGAGCGTTACGTTTTTTTTTAAAAATAAGCATTAACGATGTTTTCAGTGATTTTAAAGAATAGCAATAACATTTAAGAGTTTTTATTATTCCCATTTATTATTTTATTAAATGATATTTCAGTTAAGATTTTAGATTGCTTATAACTCTTGAATTAAACTATTTTAACGTCTGATCAGAATGATTCAAATATACTTAGGTTTTCAAAGAAAACGTTTTTGGTAAATTAGAAAGAGTGTTTTCAGACTTTCTTGCATTTTGTTTTTGTTTTTTTGGATTTTATGAGAGCTTTGGTGTATGTTGTATCTGATATGACCAGTAAGCAAACTTAGTTAATTTGAGAAATCTCTTGTATTCTTATTACAGACAATTTCTTCAAAACGTAACTAGAAATGATTATAGTGTTGGTTAGGTGTAATTTGCATGTGAAGTTTCTTTAGGTATCTGGTGTTTACAGATCGTGAGGTGTTTGTCATTCTACTTATGTAAAAATTTATTTTCAAAGATTAATTTCTGCAATCACATTTTGCTATCTAATTAAGAATGATAGAACTTAAATATTCATATCATAAATTAGTTCATAAAAAGAAATTCAATTTTTTTATGATTTAATTAGTCATTTTAAGATTATTTATGTTACCGTTAAAATTTTGGGTTGATCATTATCAAGCATTGCAATATTACAATAAAAATAAATTGATTTTATACTGTTTGCCATAAATTGATATTTCAAGAGCATTTTTATAATTATTGTTGTTCATTTATAAATGTTATTAAACTAAACCAGAAATGTATTTTAAATAATACTGATAATAATAATTATAAATTTTATATAAACCCTTATGCACACTTAAATTTTGCAATTTAAATTAGCTTCAAGCTAGTTCAGTTACTTTGAGTTACTCATAAATATCAATAATTAACTATGTTTTTGAAATGTTGCAAATTTCAAACAAGATAACAATACTTAATTCTGGAATATTGACATCTACACAAAAACACAGTAGGGAATAACATGTTATATAAATGTATTATAAGGATTAAGCTATCCCAAAGTGATTCTTAATCAGTACTTATAGTAGTGTAACATAATTTGACCCAGATTTTTTTAAGAAGTAAAATAATAAACACACAATTACACACTTTTGTTATCTTATGAAACCATGTTAGTCTGATATATCAATCCTATAGAAGTTAGGTTGGTATGAGTGTTTGCAAATTTTAAAATTAAAGATTTCAGCCTCTATATTTTTTCTTTAAAAAAAAAACAAAAAAAAAAAAAACATTTCATTAGACGTCTCATTGTTTCTGTTGTTTTGCATGGAGGCATCTGTGCGGAATGATTTAAAGTGATTTTCTTTTACTTAGGTGCCAGGTAATTAAAATTCATTAAGTGACATAGAGATATTTTTATAATAAAATGAACATAGTAATATTCATCTAATAATTTTTTGTAAATTTTACAATAGCTATTATATTGAGCACAAATAGTTTTTCTCTTACATAAGTAAGCCATTTTATTCAATGCAAGTGCATATTCAATAGGGTTAATCCAAACAGTTACTCATGAATATTTTGTTTTATCAAAACATAAATAAATTCAGAAATTTTATTATATATATAAAAAAAAATTCTATTGATTTGAGCAATGCAATTGTCAAATATTTTTTTAATATTCGAATTTCTATTAAATAAGTGTCTAACTGAGCTAAAAATAAATTCATGAAATTCAAAATGAGAATAATTGAGCATTTATATATAATATGACAATATTTTCCTTCATTAAAATGAAGAGAATTTTTATAGATGCAGTGAAAAATAAAATAAATAAATAACTTTTATCTTCTTGAATGTAATATACAGCCATGATAGTATAAATGTTAATACAATGCATTGAGTATGCAAAAATTCAGGTTAGAATCCTGATCATAGGCTTGCTATAACATTAATTCAGAAGTTGATAGGGTTAAAAAAAAAACTATAAAATTATTTTACCTTGAATTTAATACTAGATAGCTGTGATAGTATAATTGTTAATACATTGTGTCACAAAAATTCAGGTTGGAATCCTGGTCACATGCTTTTTAGATCATATTAGTTAGTTCAAAGGTAAAAAAAAAAAAAAATGTTAAATAAAAATATAGATATACATGCTGCATTTTTAGATAATTTTGCCTCTGAAATAAAAGAGATGATTTTACCTCTTGAAATATAAGAGATGAAAATTTTGCCTCTTGAAATATAAGATATGATAATTTTGCCCCTTATGAAAAAGGGATGACTAAACCTAGGTAAATAATGTAGCTTAGAGCTAAAATAAAAGCTCATATTTTTTTTGAATGATATGCTCTGCTCAGTATTTTTTTTTAATAATAAACAATAAACTAAAGAATTGTATTGACACTTATAATTATTTGAATATTTCATAGTAATAAACATTTCATTAACTTATAATAAGAAATATAGAATATGATAAGATAAATTGCACTTAAATGTTTAATTATTTTATACAGTGTTGTGTCACAACAACCAGAAATAAGACGTGAGTTGTACCAAACAATTTATTTAAACATTCACACGAACAATCACAAAATATTACCCCAAACAAATATCTCTTCTTAGAAAAAAACTCTCTTTTCAACTACACAAAAAAAGAACATCACTTCTCGTGTGTGTCCATCAAGCAACATTATTTTAGCATTTCCTCTCGAGGAATTGATGCTTTTAGCTCAGTTGTCACACTGTTACGTTACAACAGTATATGCATATCAATGTTGAAAAGAATTAATGACTATGAAAAGTATTTGGTAGATGAAATGATTTTGCAAATTTTATTGTTTGTAACTGATAAAGTTTTCTCAAATTCGAAAGAAATTAGAATATCCTGTCCAGGTGATGACAATGCCCAGCTAATTTCACATCAACATAAGATTTAATAACATGAGTATTGAAAAGATATATTTGAAGTATAACTTTATGTCATAATTTTTTTTAATAATTTTGCTTTAATATTTAACTATACATAAGTGTATATTATATGTTCCATGGATATATTATGCTTCAGTGAATACCTTATTTTGTAACATGGTGGAGATCCATTAATAAAAAAAAAATATGTATATATATACTATATATACATATTTTTTTCTGTGTTCAGCGGGGATATATGTGATGCCACAATTGGCATACACATATTTATTTTCTATCTTTTAAAATATCTTTCATTACTTAAGCTGATTTTTTATTAATAGAATTACTTTTAAAATAAATCACAGACTTAATCTTTTTAAAACAAACATAAAATATTTATTTCTTCTCTTCCAGATCAATGTAACGGATACTTTCTTTTTATTTCATTATTATGCAGACATATATTAATTCACTGTCGCCTTTAATCGAAAACAAAAATCTATTTATAACTTTTTATTCTAATTTTCCAACGGCTAAATGTTTCGGTTGCATGGTTGTAATAATTCACATAAATTTGTTGGCGACTCGTGATCGCCAAGGTGTTCTTTTAAACCCATGTTGATATGCTTGTTGGCTTTGTTTTGGCTATGATATACTGTGATAAATTGCCAATTTTGGATCTCCATCCCATGCTTCTCCTGTGTCCGATTGGAACAAATTACACGTACTTCTTAATTTGGCTTTTGATTAGGCAGGTTGTGGGGGAATTGTCTCCCATGGCCTGTCCTTAAAAATATTATTATGTAAAATTGATTCAACTGAAATTCGTATGGATGATATGTATATTTGATACCTCGAGCTCTGCAAATATACTACTAAATAAAAGCTTTTTATTAATTCTGATCCGGCTCAACTATTATTTTCATCACCCTTCTGTTTTCATGTATTCTTCAACTGGCCCACTATACCAATACAAACTCCATCCTCACCTGATATATTCCATCATCTTCATCTCAACATAAATTGGCAATTGGCATTCTGATAATTACTTCTTCATAATATATATATATATATTTATCATAGTGAATCCTCGAATCATTTTGAGTTAAGAATACTACTGTAAATTTAATGATTTGACTGTAATATGTTAAAAAAAAATCATTGTCAGCTAAGTTATTCATGCTCAATTAATAATTATATTATTCAAAATGTGACAGTTATTAAAAAATAACTTGCTTGAAGATTTATAGAATGTAGAATAACCATTTCTCCTATTTTTCATAAGAACATGAAAAATTGGCCGTATAATTAGACATTATAAATTGGTGCTCCTCTTATTTTAGCTGATTTTTAAGTTTTTACAGGAAACTGGAAATTTATTTAAAAGTGAGGTTTTCAAAAAGAAATCGAAGAAATAATAAGAATTTATGGGCAGTAAAAGCTCCAAAGTTCAGTGCCCAATCCTAGGGACATCTAATTTTACACACAGTTATCCCAATTTATTTAATTTAGTAACTATCAAAAAATGTTAAGTTATGTTTTTTGTTTTTGAGTTATTGAAAGAAAGAAAAATGTGTTATATTTTGCTTGAGAAAATGTGTTTTTTTAATTCTCCATAAAATTTAAATCTGTATTGTTTATTATTTTTATTTAGTCATTCAATATTGTTTACTTTTAGGCATACTAACATTTTTTAGTAATCTAATTCGAAAATTTTATTAATCATTAGTAGATTAAGTAATGAAAAATTATATTTTGTATCTAGCCATCATAACATTTTTGGATAAATAAGTTTTATAATGTACTATAATTTTTCAATTAGTATAATCATTTTTCATGATATATGTAAACAAAATTTCCAAGAACTAACATTATGGGGTCTTAGCTTTTGATGGATCTTCTGACTTTATTGTTGCAATTATATTTTTTAGATTTTAAAATATTTAGTTTATCGGATCAGCTATTTGCTGCAGATACTAGTTTCTATAAAAATTTATTTTTAAAAGTGTTCTTGTTTTAATAAAAATGATGTAGTATGTATTTAGTAACATTAAAGAATATTGAAATTTTTGACAACTTCAAGTTTTCATATAGGATTCTTTTACTTTACACATTATAAAAATAACTTGCAGTAAAAGGCACTGCAATTATAAATTTATGAGGTATCAGAAGGTATTTAAATTTTGCTATTAAAAAATACTATAAAAAATTATATTTAGCTTTTTTGTTTGGTTGCATTATTTTTTGATTATTTTATTTCAATAGCATTTTTTTTTCTCTGTCACATAGTACTATACATAATTTTTAATATCTCTATGAAATGTTTTATTCGAACTTCAATCTTTATTACATTTCATTTTTAATAAACTAGGAAGAACTAGAACTTGTCAAGAGGCGCCAAAGTTAGCGGCCTATTACCATCGCCAATGCTACCTGAAGATCCATGGACACGAAAACAATAACAACAGAACTAGAACTTAACTAGGTTATTATTATTTTACACAGAATTAAACATATCATTTTTTTCAATGATTTATTTTTTTCATGGCATACTCAGAAATAACTGAAGTATTCTATTTGTTACATAGGCAAGCAAGGTATAAACAATTGATTTAAGCACATTATTTTTATCCTGTCCTATGTTTAAGACTTTTAATTTTTACTTTTTAAAGAAAAGTTTTATTTGTAATGATGATCCTTTTTATTCATTTATTTTTCATAAGGCATACGTATTTTTTTTTTTTAAATCTGAATTGGAGATGCTTAAATTTCTTTTCTTAAAAAAAGTTTTTTAAAATATCATTCTATTACTTAAGAATTTATAATGATTTTTGTATTGAGAAATTTTAAAAATTTAGCCTATTATTTATTTTATTAAAGCGTACTTTTTTCGTAATTTTTTTGTTACTTAGTTATTTTCCTAAAAAAATTTAATTCTATAAATAAACAAGCTCTCGTATATTTTAATATTTGTTCGATTTAATGCTTCCTTTTAATAGAGTGAATATTTAAATTCGATATTTTTCTTTTAATTGAGTAGTTTCATTCATTTTTACGATAAAATATTTTTGTTTATATAACATGGCTTAATTTATTTTTAGAGAGAAGTATATGGAACACAGTAAAAGACGTCCAGCAACTTAATTCCATACATTTCCCCACGAAAAGGCATTGCCACACGTTTCGGAAACAAGAATTGAGACACTTGGCTAATCTTTTACAATTAAGTTTACTCTAGTTTGATTTTTCGTAAGAAAATGAATTCAATTTTATGTCAAAGAATGTGAATTACTTCTTTTTTGTAAATAATGCTTTTATTTTACAAACCTACTTATAGCTAGCAATAAAATATTTATTTTCTAAGATCATAAATTAAGTTTTATTTATTTTGTAACCATTTTCCAAGAAACAATAAGAAAACAAAATACCGGGTTAGCTCTGAAATTATTTATTTATTTAGTTACTAGCAGAGCACAGAAAACAGTTACAAATTACTAAAAAAGAAACATATTAACAAAACGAAACTCACATAACACTAAACGGAGAGATTAAATTGGAGAACATCTCCAAATTAATCTCTCCGTTTTGTGTAATGTGAGTCCGTTTTGTGTAATTGATATCCAAAATCCTTCCATAAAGTCCCAGGCAGTCTCTGGTGAGTGGTGAATTTAATTCGAAAAGATTCAGCGTTCAATTTAAATCTCTGGAGCAGGATTTTCTTTATGTACGGATAGTCTTCCAACTTGTCTTTTGGTTCACGTAAAATAATTTGTGAAATTTCTAAAGGCAGGAGGGGTAGAAGGTGAGTTAGGTAGTCTGTTTCATTTACCTTCAATTTTTGACATTGTCTTTCGAAAATTTGCAGGTAGCCTGCAATATCAGAAGTTTCTTTAAACTTGGGAATTAGATGTAGTATATTTAATTCAGCAGTTGCTTTTGAAGCAAATGTGCCAAAAGTAGGGTTTGAGCTAGCAGCCGCCAAGTTTAACTTCAAGCGTTCGATCTCTAACAACTGTTCACTCTCTTGTCTTTTACGCTCCTCTAATTCTTTATTTTCACTTTCTATTTGATGTCTAGTTTCTATTATAGTATCAAGAAGGGTTTTAGTAAATTCTTCATCGTAAGTGTCAGATTTTAGGATAAGTTCCTTTAAATCAATAATGCGCATGGTATCATTTACCTCCAAGCCCAATTCAATGGATAAAGTTTTTAAATCGTCTTTACGGGCCTTGGCTAAGTAAGTCATTGTTATTTGTGGAGTCAGGGGGGAGGGAAAACGATGGAATATATATTTTATTCGTTCAGATATTGTTTTTTTATTATTCAGTTTTTTTAGTCCTTGCAGGTAAGTTGTAACAGAACTATACTACTTTAAAACTGAATTACCACCACGCCATCTTGTGGCGAAACTTTTGAGTTGAACTGCGGCAACCGATTGGAGAACATCTCCAAATTAATCTCTCCGTTTTGTGTAATGTGAGTTTCGTTTTGTTAATATGTTTTTTAGTAATTTGTAACTGTTTTCTGTGCTCTGCTAGTAACTAAATAAATAAATAATTACAGAGCTAGCCCGGTATTTTGTTTTCTTATTGTTTTTGGAAAATGGTTACAAATTTTGGCGCCCAACATGGGGCCCGAACCCACGACCCCGAGATTAAGAGTCTCATGCTCTACCGACTGAGCTAGCCGGGCTCTTCAAAATAAAGCGGATATTTTAAACAAAAATTCTGTTCGTGGCCCCATGTTGGGCGCCAAAATTTGTAACCATTTTCCAAAAACAATAAGAAAACAAAATACCGGGCTAGCTCTGTAATTATTTATTTATTTAGTTACTAGCAGAGCACAGAAAACAGTTACAAATTACTAAAAAACATATTAACAAAACGAAACTCACATTACACAAAACGGAGAGATTAATTTGGAGATGTTCTCCAATCGGTTGCCGCAGTTCAACTCAAAAGTTTCGCCACAAGATGGCGTGGTGGTAATTCAGTTTTAAAGTAGTATAGTTCTGTTACAATTTTATTTTAAATTTGTATTCTTTGTAGCCTATAAATGCTTCCTAAGTCCCCCATTTTAATTTTAGCACTTCTTATTTTCAGTCACTTTTTTTTTCCGAAATGAAATTAATTAATAAGAAATTTTGCAAACTTTGTCCTATTTTATTTGAGTGATTCTATGTTTTCTTTAACCCTGTATTATATTTTTATTGACGAATGTAAGCTACTCAAAATATTCACTTGAACCAACCTTCAAAATTTGTAACTTTGCAATATCATTTCATGATGTTGCTTATCATTAAATTTCCATTGTTCACTTGTGTTGGGATTAGCCTTTTCACCAGAAAATTTATTCTTGGAAGCATTGATAGCTCAATTTAAGATAAAGAACTAATTTACTTTAATTTCAAGATTTACTCCCAGTTTTAAAGCACCATTTCCAAAATCACATTAAATTTTGATTCAGGAAATATATTTTCAACTTATAAATTGCAATATTAAAAAGAAATAATCTTAACACGGTCTTAAAAAAGTTGTTATAAAGTAAGTTCAGATTTTAATTTTTTTTTTAATAATTAAGCTACCCTGTAATGAAATAAGTGCCATATCAGATTGCTTGGACTGCTTTTAAATGTGATAATCTTGTTTTTTTAATAATAAAAGAAAAAGTTCTTTACAAGTGTATAGGGTGTTCAAAAATTAGGAATTTCTTACTCAAGATGGATGGTTTGTGTAAAGGTAGACCATAAGAAATATTTAGGGACAATGACTGATAGACCACAAGGTCTAATAGAGATTATTGGGGGAGCTTGCTGAGACAACCTTGTCTGTCGTGAATTAGTCTTGTCTGAGTATTGAAATAATTCCTGGAGATTTTTTTGGTGTAGATATTGAAATAATTCTGCTTAAATATGTGCAGCAAGATTTATTTTCTCATTTAAAAATGAGCTGAAAATTTGTGATTTGTTTATTTTATTCAGCTTATTTAGTATGTTACCTAATGTACCTCTTATCTTTCATGAAATAAATGCTTAGAAAAACACTATTTGTTCTTTATTTTTTTAAAATTGTGTCATCAATTTTGCAGTGTAATTTTGTTTGTGTGTTCACATAATCAAATTCTAATAAACTAATATTTTGAATACATCATATGGCAAGTTTTTTCTTTAGAAATGATTATAAACTATGCCTTTTGAACTACCATTTAATCTAAAATCTTTAACAGCCATATAAAAGTTTCATACATCAAAGGAAGAAAAAAAAAGAGAAAGAGATTCTAAATTGGAAAAATAATCTTCATAATCAGTGCAAAGGTGGTGTATCCATAATTCTGAAGATCATTTAAATTCAAACATTGACATGTATTTAAAGTTAGTCTACAAAAGGTTCTATAATTGTCAATAAATAACCTTTTTAGGTAGTATTTATTTTGCAGAAAAAAATCACTTATAAATTTTTCACATTTGATGTGTTTGACACAGCTCCATTTATTGGTAGCATTTAAATTAATTTTATGTAAATACTTTTTCATATATTATTAGTGGCCTATTCATAACCACACTCCCTTATTTTTTTATGCACATTAATTGCCATTTCAAAAGTGATATCTTGGCAAGAAACCAAACAGCGATGCAAAAATATACATTTTGTTACATTTATTTACTACGCGTTTTTCGTCTTCAAGTATTTAAATGTGTATACAAAATAATCTGTTTGATCAAAATAGATTTTAAAACTAACAGTTTTAAATTTAGAAAACTGAATTTTAAATTGAAATCACAAAACAGCAGATTAAATTTGTCCAATTATAAATTCTTAAAGTCTATATGCATATACAGTGGGCCAAAAAACTACATTTTTGTAGTTAATTACTACTATTAGTGATTTCTTTCCTATCTTTAGAAGACAAACTTTGTCGGAAAATTTAATTCACATGTTGAAAATGGTTTTGAATAAGGAATTCAAAGAACTGAAATATTTATTCATGTTTACATGAGTGAATTTGTAATTCTAAACCATTTTTAACAAATTATTTTTTTAACCTTCAGCTTTATGTTTTTCTTAGCAGTAAATATTTTAAAAACACTAGAAAATCATAAATTATTTTGTTAGATGTTTAATGCTCTTTTATTTACTCTGAAAA